TTTTCTTCTCTTGTGGTCTTTTTTTTTTTTTTTTTGTCATGACTTTTCTTGTTGTCAGATATAAAGCATTTCGGGATGAAAATGGAAAATACACGCTGGTGTATTGGGAGCTTCTGGCTGTAAGACTGGGCTTTATCATTGCCTTTGAGGTGATCATTGATCTTCCTTCTGCAAACCACATCACAGTCATATTCTTCCTTGAATTTGAGCTTCCCAATATACACTGTGACCAATTAAAAGTCGACATGAAATCAAAATTAACCCCATTTACTCTGGTACATAATGTTAACTTTTCATTAAAGTTCCAGCCTTTATTTAGTTATTTTTTAATTAAATAAACAGAAATTACATTGTACAAACACATTCGACAGTAAAGCGCATCTCGCACACACAAGGAAAAAAAAACAATACATAAACTAATTGACCTAATGTATATAATAATATTAAATAGAAATTTTAAAAATACTAAATAAAAAAAATACATTAGTAAATGAATGAACAAATCAAATATAATGGAAATCATTGATAAGTGAAGTGGAGAAAAGTGCTTTAAGCCATATAAATATCACCAAAGTCTTTCTTATATTTATGTCATTTCTTTATATATAGGTCTATATATCAAGAATCTATCCCTTTTTCATTATTAATTAAATAAATAAAGAGATTTAAAAAGTCAGTCTATGTCAACTAAAAATGTGAGTACATTTTCTGAATATCATGCTCTACCCAGAAATATCTTGCATTACGATAGTAAAAATGCTTTGATGATGGCAATTTACATTTTCTGTATAATGACCTGATTGTTTACGGTCTCTTTATTATTATCTAATAATTATTTCTATTCTGTGGTCATCTTAATAAAGTGTGTGTACTCATCCTCAGCATGTGGTGTTCTTCGTCCTGCGTGTCATCGACTGGATGGTTCCCGACATCCCTGAGTCCTTGGAGCTGAAGATCAAGCGGGAGCGTTACCTGGCTAAGCAGGCTTTGGCTGATAACCAGGAGGCCCTGCTGGTGAGTAGCTTTAGCTGATGTTAGTGCACATAGTGATGTCCACAACCTTCAGTGCCCACTCACTGTGAGCCATGCTTATTCTCATTACCACTCACACCAGAGAGCTCAGAGACTGAGGCTGCGTCCAAAGACTTAGGCAGCTGACCTGATGCCTCGCTGCCTGATTGCACACAAAGGTACCTCACAAAACTAATTTCAGACAGACTTCAGGCAGCAGAACAGTTTATTGATCTACAACAAAAGAGAGAGAACTTTGGTGGTTTGGAAATCAGAAACTGACCACCAAACACAACTTTCGGACACCATTTTTATTTTTTAGCTCAGGTGTCACAGAATTGAATGCACAGCAAAGGATACATCTATGCCATCTCAGGAGACAAGAAGTGAAGCTAACATTGGATTCAGACATACCTTGATGCCTCCCTACTTCAGAATGCATCCTTCTAAGGGGGCTGCATTTTTCTGTTTTCAGACGCAGCCTGAGATTTTATTACTGAGGAATATAACAAGTATTCATGTTGTTCGACCTAGAGCAGAGCTTCAGTGCTTGGCCTTGTGTCATGACCAAAAAACCAGAAAAGGCTTTGAAATATACACTACCAATCAAATATTTTTAATTTAGCAATTTTTAAATATATTAAAACAGAAAACAGGTGTTTTATATTGTACTAATATTTCACAATATTACTGTTTTACTGTATTTTTGATCAAATAAATGCAGCCTTAATGAGAATAAGAGACTTCTTTCAAAAACATTAAAATATCTTAACAACCCAAAACTTTTAAGTTCACACATTTAAATAAATGTAATGATAAATTTAATGCTGTTTTCTTTTAATTTCCTTGCTATTTCTTTTTATTTCTATTCATCTCCATTTTCACAAAAATCAAATTTTTAAAAAATGAAATGAATGTGTGACATAGTTCCAGCACTCTAGTAAAAGTGGAGCAAAGACCTTGGAATTCCCGGTACTTTTTTTTACTGCCCTGGTTTATGTACTTCATATATTCTGTAGAGTAGAGGGGGGAAAAAGATCAAAACATTTTTCAACCCACTTTTCTGGAAAATATGCGTTAGGATGATGCTCTGCTTCGGCTTTTTAAAGGTCAGAGTGTATATTTGGCTATGTGCGCTGGATTCTGACCAGTGACGTAATGGAATATTCAAGGTTATGGGGAAGCAAATGTAAAAGTTTAAGAGTCTGCCACTGAAAAACCATCATTCTGAACATTGCCAGGATTTCAATGTTTGTGCTGGTTATGGCTCTGTTCTAGGGTATATTGTTTTTAATTAAGTTGTATTTAAAATTTTACTTACTTTAATAGTTTAGAAACAGACCTGCCTCTGAATAGATTTAAAAAATATTTAAAATGTATCATTTAAAAAAAATTATAATTAAACATGCTTGTCATCATTACTCAAATAGTTCTACACCTAATAGTAATAGTTTCTTTGGTCTGTTGAGGACAAAAGAAGCTATTCTGAAGAATGCTGTTAACCAAACAGTTGCCGGCACCCAATAACTTTCATAGTATGGAAAAAAAATACCATGGAAGTCAGTGGCTACCATCAACCATCTGGTCACCAACATTCTTCATAATACTTTCTTCTGTGTTCAGCAGAAGAAAGAAACTCATACAGGTTTGGAACAACTTGAGGGTAAATTTGGGGTGAGCCAATTTTGTGACTAATTGAGGATGCCTCTAAACAATGTACTTCTGTCTTTTTTCTTCTTATTTCTCTGCTTTTCTCCTTGTATGCTGGTCCTTGAAGCAAGCGAAGCGCCTCCTCGCTACATGAGACTGACATGCAGGGCAGGGGCTTCTCCAGAAGGGGGCACAGTCGTTAAGAAAACACTTTACACCCTTAGAAGTGATCCAAGAGGGACTTGTTTTGAAAAAAAAAAAAATGCGCTTGGTTTTGTGCTGGTTGATTGAGTGTGTGTGAGCATGCATTTCAAAATGTAGAGGTCTATGCCAAAATTGTACACTACCATCTCTACTTTAGCAAACGGCTGTTTACATATGACTTCCTCTGGCTCCAACTATACTAAGACATGTGATCACCTACACATCTCACTCTCTCTGCCCTTCCGATAAATGATATATTCCTGTTCAGATTTAGTGGGAGGACAGGGAGGTTTGCTTTTCTACATTAATACTAAAGTATATATTTGTACTGACAAAATGAAAATTGTGAAAGACATCAAGAAGCCTATTCTACATTGTGTTAGTGTGAAATGCTTCTCTGAATAATACCTTAATATATTTGCATTTGTCATGTCTATCTCCGGGCTGTTTAAGGAATTATGTTTTAAAATAAAGCTAGTTTCAATAACCGTTCAAAAACCATAGAAGTGTTTACATGCTGGAGGACAGGATTTAAAAGGATAGTTTAGCCAAAAGTTAAAAAAACTCATGTCATTCCTTCCTTTGTTCTGTGGAACACAAAAGATGTGTTAACTAATGTTTCAAGCTTCAAATAAGCACTGTAAAAAAGGATCATAAGTGGTCCGTAAGACCTGTGCATTATATTCCATATCTTCTGATTTTAAATAGGACTGCATTATTTGGGCAAAAAATGTAATTATGTGTAAAATGTAATTTCTGATTTAAAATTTTTTTAAATAATTGCAACCTTTAAAAAAAAAAAAAAAACTCAAGGTTTGCTGTGCTTGTTTGTAGGTTTGCACAATTTGGAAGAAAAAAAGAAGAAGAAGCAATTATCAATATGACCATGTCTTAAAAAACAGCCTTATGAGTGCTTCTCATTACAAATTAGGAAAGATGGTTGGTGCATGTTGCGTTCCTAAATGCACATCATAAGCAAGCTAAATGCAGCGCTTGCAAAAAAGAGTTTGTGTAGATAAGCATTTCCTGCAAAACAACCCACTAGAATCAATGGATCATGAGCTGCTCTGTCCCGTGCTTCACTCTGAAATGCATAGTGCATATATTTATTTAGCAGTTTTTTTTAATTGTGCAGCCCTACTCCTTAAGCCATATAGGTTATGTAATAAACATAATGAAATGTAAATCATGCGTCACTGAAAATTTCGTGGTCACCATTCACTTTCATTGTATGGAAAACAGCAGCTTGAACATTCTTCCAAACATCTCCATTATTATCCCATAGAAGGAAAAAAAAAAGGTTGGGTTTGGAACAATATGAGGCAGAGTAGCCTAAATGATCACACAATGGGATTTTTGGCCAAACTACCCTTTTTAATTCCTAGTTACGCCTGTCCTGTCGAACAATGGCTAATTGTGAAAAAATGGTTAGCTTGAGCAAGAATAAAAATGATATGCTTGAACAAGTTAGAAAGGTGAACAAGACAACACTAATGCTAAGCCAGTGAAGTTCTGTGTTCCAGAGCCGAGAGCCAATGCCAGCTGGCAAATGCTTCAGATCCTTAATCTTTGGTTAACACGTCCATGTAGGCAACTTCTGCCCCACTTTTCAGCTCTACTTTCTGCAGAAAATCTCTGGTTCTCACATTCCATTTAATCTGATCAAACCATCAAGCTTTGTGTGAGCAACCTGCCCTTATGAAACCCTTTACCGACCAAATGCACCCGACTTGGCGACTTCCACTAGTTTTTTTTGTGGAATGGATCAAGCAACTGATTTATTAAAGTCAGAAGCAGACAGGTGTTCTGATAATGATTTGTCTCTAACCCCACCCACTCAAAAAACTAAAAAGAATCTCCATCGCCTCAGGCTCTTTGACTCTCTCTCTCTCTCTCTCTCTCTCTTTCTCTCTCTCTCCTCCTCTACTTCATTTTTTGATTGTTATGATTGCAGTGCGTTCCTACGCTGTTAAGCCTGCAGGAAGGGTTGGTTGGTACATGTCAAGCTACTAAAGTATGCAACATACATAGCAGCCCTTTTGCTTATTAATTACTAACGGACTCCATGTTCAACTGCAGGAGAGACCCACAAAACCGACGCTCTTTAATGTGCTTTCACTCTTGAATAAACTAATTTCTCAGCACAAACACATCAATAATCGGCCGGAGATTAACATGAATAGGTTTTGTTTACCTAACATTTCAATGATTTAAAAACATTTTTTTTTATTGCTGATCTTCTAGACTTTCACACGTGCTTGCTTGATAAACGACTCTTTCAGTTCTTCTAAAGTGAATAGATGAGGTGTGTAAAAGGGAGAGGAATTAAAGAAGTTTTAAAGAGCATATCTGAGTGAGTTTCGGCATGCCCTCTCAGCTACTTGCTATCTTCAAACTGATACTTACCTAATTATACACACACACACACATGCACACACTCGCATGCATGGATATTCACATACAGTCTTCTTCCCACCCTCTATCTCACGCCCCCATCAAACTAACCCTCCTAACCGACCCCTGCTATCCACTTGCAAAGCACTGCTGTTGACACACAGGAATCCAGACACACACACACACACACACTCATGCGACTCCAGACCTTGATTTCCAAATGAAATGCAAAATTTACTTTAAACAGAAAAGAGGACTTTGGACCACACTGAGCAACAGTCCAGTTCTTCTTCTCCTTAGCCGAGGTAAGATGCTTCTGACGTTGTTTCTGTTTCCCTTTTCCTGAAGACGTCTGAGCGTGGTGACTCTTGATGCACTGACTCCAGCTTCAGTCCACTCCTTGTGAAGCTCTCCCAAGTGTTTGAATTGGCTTTGCTTGACAGTATTCTCAAGCTTGCGGTCATCCCTGTTGCTGACAGTGTCAAAAGCAGCAGATAGATCCAGCAGAATAAGGACTGATGATTTGGAATCAGCTTTTGCTTTACATGTAATGTATTGAATCTAGAATATATGAAAGTTTACATTTTTGAAATACGTTACAAAAAAATTAACTTTTTCACAATATTCTAATTTTTTGAGATGCGCCTGTACATATATTTGTATTTTTACTACATCAAAAGTAAACTTTAAATTGTATTTTTTTTTATTTTTTATTAAAACATTGTCACTAGTGGTCTCATATTTTCTTCCTGGTTGTTAGCTGTTTAAAGAAGTGGCTAAAGCTTTATTTTGCCTACTGTTACTAATCGACATTGTTATCTTACGGCTTCTTGTTTACTGGGTGACACGGTGAATGTTTAAGGTCACTAAACATATTATTATCATTTATATCTGTCCTGCTGGGTTGTACTGCCAGACACTTTTTTTTTCTTGCTTGAGCAGATGCTCATGCATGAAGTATAATGTTTTGATTTGCCACTCATTACCTGCATAGACAAATCTCATGATACGCCTGGGATATGGTCCAGTTTATAAAATCATGGTAGAGCAAGCAGAAACCCTGCCCTCCAGCCCTCCTAACAGACATCAAATCAGATGCAAATATGGCCATGCTACCGATCGCTTGCAAGCTACTTAATGTTGCATGCATAATAGTGCGATAGATTGAGCAGGATATGAGCCCTGAATATTCTACTGCTGCAGGGAGCAGAGATGGTAAGTGTGTGTGTGCATGCGTGAGCTTCTGTTGATGTGAAGGGCAGGTGACTGCATGTCTGGAACACACTGCAAAAGAACTGCACATGGATAGATGGCAGCACAGAGTACTGTACTGTGTGAAGCTATATATATATATAGTGAATATATATAGTTAATTGTGCAAAAAAAATGTGTTTGACATCGGAATGAAGGCATATGCATTGATGTTATGTTAAGAGCTCATAAAACCTAATTAAGTTCCAGGTAATGTGTCATTTACATATTAACTTTGTCCCAGATAGATTTCTTAGGAGAAAAAAAAAAAGACACAAATGCGATCATTGTTGATGTGCAGTAAAAGAGTAAAAAGCTATCAAATAATTGTGGATCGCAAAGTCCAGATAAATTGCTCTTGGAAAAGTTTGATAAGAAATGTTTGAGTTCATATTGATAGGGTTTAATATAAATTTTAGTATAATTTAATATAGTGTTTTCCTTATGTATTTTTAGTTAACAATAACAACACTAATGGGAAGTTATGAAAATAACATGGCAGTTCTTCCAGTAAAATCAATAGGTCTTCTACATCTGTTTTTAAACAGGAGATCTGACTACTTGCTTGATTATTTACTCAGGTGTCATAAATCTGGACTTCCTGCATAGCCTCAGAAACCATTGTCTGCATTTGCTTCGTAACACCATTGGATGTGTAAGAGATATCCTTTTAGTATTAGAGTGATTATGTCCCTCAAATATGGGTTGTTTTTGAATGGAGTGAGATCAGGTGGTTTTTGCTTCCTTCATCTCCACTGATTAAAGACCCATGAAGACAGTGAATTTGTAAGAGGGGAGCTTTTAGGATATGTGTTTGAGCATGGATGGATCCCACAGGGTGTGGTTTGATGGTGCTTTGCTTTAGTTAATATGTTGGCAGATATGAAGATCAGAGAGACAGTGGGGGCGGCCAGACCCTTGGAATGTCTATCGTAACCTGCGGCTTGCCGCTCCTCCAGCTCGGCCGTGCCAGTCTATGTGTGTTTGTATGACTCATTGCATTCTCATAGTTCTCAGCAGCTCTGGATTGCTCATATATGCTGGTAGAGATAAGAACAGACTGGAGGGAGCAATAGATGGCACGGGATGTTTGGTAACAATACAACTGAACTGGCATGTGTACAAGGAAAATACACAGTTTTTTTTACTCTTTAAGGTCAATGATAAGATGTCATTTTTGTGTCAGATTAATTAATTGATTCAGAAATACATTGCAATGAGTACACAACTATGATAAGCATGTTTGTAATTTCTGAATTAAAATTAATATTTTTTAGAACATGAAGTAAATAATTGTCAGGGTGATATAAGTGGGTATTATATCAAAGGAAAAAGGCAAATTATTATTATTTTTTAAATTTTATTAGATTTCTGATTCGATTATGAAAGTAAAATGGTAGTATTTCTTAGTATTTTG